AGAGAGAGAGAGAGAGAGAGAGAGAGAGAGAGAGAGAGATCAGAGCACATAACAAAATATTTTCCATGGTATAATTTGAATTTGGCAACAACCGCCACTAATTTATTCAGACAGCAAATCCCCAGTTTGAGATAGGCTCTGTCTAATTTGTATACCTCACAGCTACAGAATCTAGCTAGATTTTTGGACTTGTGTTTCTTCCTCCATCCCCTCCTTTTTGGTCCATCTCGTCTGATGCTGAGAACTTGAAAGCTCACGTTTTGTAGAATTTTGGTTGTTGCTCATAAAAATATTGTCCACCTTTACAAGTTGGGGGTGTCTTTTTTCCACTCATAGGCCAACACACTACCTTTGGTTATTTCTATGTTCTGATGGAGATCCTCTCATCTTCCCATAGTTTTGTGCTTTCCTTCAGGCAGTCCATAATTGAGGCGTGCCAGTAGTACTCAAGCCCTGCACGAAATTATACTTTCTGGATGCTCTTCCTATGTAATAAGTGCTGTACATTCTTCAGAGGTGATGGAAAGGCATACTTAACAGCCTCACCACCGCTGCTGTGTATTCTTACCCCTCAATAGGCGAGCCCCAGTTTTACAAGAATGTTTGGAGCTGCCCCCTGGGAATGTCTGGCTGAAACAAGGTCCCCATTCCAGGGAAGCCTGATGAAGAAAGCAGGAGAGAAGGCTGAAAACAAAGGGAAATAAGGGCCAAAGACTTGACAAAGAAATTAAGGTGATGATGCTAGGCAGAAGAACGGGGAGCAGAGAGGTTTGAGTTTTAAAAGGATGCATAAATGAATAAGAAAAAAACAGTTGTGGAAAAATGGTCAAGTTTAGAGGAAGAGGATAAAAAGGGATAGAATTATGCAGAAAAGGGAAAAGAGGCCAAGTCTGAGTAGAGGAGGAAATGCTGAAAGGGAAATGGAATGAGAGAGAAGAACTAAGGGGTGTGGGGAATGAGGAGGTAAAAGAAACGCAGAGAAATTCTGAACGAACAAATCCAGTGGAAATTATCTGTTTGCTTCTTCTGCAGAAGGAAAGGGAAAATTTAGGGGAAACAGCTATTGAAGCCATTGCTTTTCTTATCTCCTTAAAAAGATAACAGGCTTGGGCCAGGAGTCTAACACCTCATATGTTTTTCCCAGCAGGGCTAATAGCCTGGTGGGGAGCAGCTGATGTTTTACTGCAGTATGTCACAACTGAATTGCAGCATGATGAAGTGCAGGAGCTGTTTGTAGATCTAGCAATAATACGGATGTGTCTGCTCTGCAGGCATACTGATAGGCTGAGATGCCCTGGGCTTCCTGGGCACAAGTAGAATTCCCAAGCAAGCTTTCCTAAGAATAGAGTCTACGGCAGGGGTGTTGATCCTTGGCTCTGGGACCCAATCAAGCCCTTCAGGGTTTTCATTCCAACTTTATAAGGTTCCCCAGAAGACCATGACCTCTTCCCCCTGCCCCACCCACTTTCCCCTAAACACCAGTTGTTTGGCAGATTCCTGGCTTTGTGCAGTTTTCTCTCCCTTCTGAAGGGGCAAAATGCCTCTCCTAAGGCTTCATTACTGACACAAAGGGAGCAATTCTGTGCTCCCCAGACAATATTTGTGGATCATAGGATGCTACACATTCTCAGATCCAAGACTGGAGGCAGAGCTCCAGAGTTGGAGGGGCAAATCCATGACCTATTCCCTCTCACTCTTACACACAAAGAATTGTGCTGTCTACCTCTCTGAGTTCAGGGACACAATGTCAGAGAGGAGCTAAAGGGGGCATTTTAGGGGCCAGATAGGGGAGGAGACTGGAGAGGCCTCTCCAGCTGCCTGCCTTCCTCCTGAAACACTTTCGGTAGGTGGGCAAAAAAGTCTCTCTAGCAAAATGCAGAGCAAGAGGGCAGGCAAACAAAGATTGCCTCTACCACTCTTCTCCTCCTAAGCATAAGTCTCCAAGTTTGGTGTTTTACAATCATTGCAATAGGATTGCACCCTAACAGCACTAAGCTTTGAAATGCTGGTATTTGTACCTCCGCTCATTTTGCTTTCAGCCACCCCTGAAATGTGTCCCTCAAGATCTTCTCAAGATCTTGAAGTGGAATTCAGGTCTTGAAGTGCTGGTTCTTCAAGTGACGTTTGCAATTAAGGATGAAAGAAACTGAAGCTATTGTTCCAACCTGACTGTGTTTATATCCTGTTACTGAAATTCAGTAGTAACACTAGCAAACACTAATGACAGTAGCATAGGTTCATACAACACTGGTGCTGTACCATCAGTAGGATCCTAATGTATACATGTAACTGAAGTTATGCTGCTTGAAAGCAAGGAATTTGTCCTATTTGCACATCTGGATCAGGACAAATCAATTACCAAAAGAATCACTAAAATTTATTAGACATAAACAACCCATCACGTAAAGGCAGCCCCCAAAGCGTCCTTCACAAGAGTAAGCAGACACAACTGATCGGTTTAGTGAAATTTCTCATGTCAATGGATAGAATGGTCACATTCCATCCCATTTTATTTTTTGTTTTCTGGAGGAAAGAGACCGCAGAAGGGCCAAAAGCTGCTTTGCTTTGTTGAATAGCTGTTCCAAATAGGCTTTGGGGGTTGCTACAGAGTTGACTGTTGGTGGCTTGTGAGGCCATGCTAACTCTACTTTGCAATTAGCTACCATTAGCTACACCCTAAGGCTAGTGGGGCAGCATATAAACCAAATAAATATGAGATGCCAGTTGAGGATCCCATTAGAATTAGGTTAGCTAATTCAGGATTGAAGTGCTACTGTTAACTACCACACCAGGTGCGACAGAATAAAAGGAGAGAGACTCTTTCATACAAATCCCAACTGGGAAATTTCTGCCATTTTGCTGACTGTGTTATAACATTCTGATTATTTTAAAAAAAATTGTAGCCATTTTCTGCTCTTGGGTAAATGCACATAGCAACCGATGACAGAATAACAGACTGTTTCGGATTTGTGAGAGCTTTCCTCAACAGATTTAGCCCACTGTTTGTTTGTGTCTTGACAGCACTGCATTAGAAAGAATTGATTTGGAACAATGAAAATTGTTGCATGACAAATGCTCTTTTGGTTAGTAGCCACCAACAGCAAATCTGAACAGTCTGATATAGGAATGTATCCTTTTGAACTTAATTAGAGGGGTACTTATTCCTGAATAACCATTCATAGGAATGGGCTGGCAGGAACAAATGGAAAAACTAAATAAGAAACTCTAATGAAGACTTTCTTTTAAAAACAAATCTCTTGTCCAATAAGGATGAAGTTGTTTTTCAGAATAAGCAAGAATACGCACTGGGCTTTGTTTTTGTGTGTGCCGCTGTCGTCTGAATTTTCTTTGAAAGATATGTCATAATTTTCTCTAGTGAAGCTGTATATATTGTGTCCTTCTCGGATGCTTTTACCATCTATCCTTAAATCATGATCACAACTATATCCAGCTATGGTCAGCTGGGAGTGAATGGGACTGGTGTGTTGCAGGAATGCAACATTTGCACACCTCCTGCCCAGAAATTTCTTGTCCATGTGTTGGATCCAAATTTTGTTTCTGCTGGATGATATTCTGAATGCACATAATGATCCAACAGTTGCTTATATGAGTTTTCCGCATACATTATTTTGGAGAAATGCTTTAGTTCCAAGGAGACCATGATTTTGCTTCCATATGTTTTTTGCCCAACTCAGGTCAGAAATAGAACAGAAATAATCGAAGAGATATAATATTTAATGAGCTGTGATTGCTTCAAAGTCTCCTGGGGAATTTGGCATCCGTGTGGCACTGGATTCTGTCCATGTTTGCACATTCTTTGCCAAGATATACATTGGCATCTTTTCACCAATTCGCTGCTGCCATTTAGTCTCATTCATTACATGGGTTAGCCCATTTACTGTTTCTGATACTAATGAGAAGTCAAGTGTTTCCAGCCATATAGGAATGAAGTAGTATTTATTTAATATTTATGAATAAGCTATCTGCTGATAAAACCTAAGAGAATAACCTCTCTGCTGTTTTATTTTCTTCACTTAAGTACCCAAAGGCTGGAAGATTAGCCACAGTTTCTGCCATTGTAATATTAGATAGAAAGTATATCCCATAGGATGTGTAGCCTCTAATCTAAATTAAGAGATTTCCCATTATCTCATAATTCCAGAGCATCACTGAACCAAACATGTGGTGTGTGCTTTTAATTTTACATTTGCCATTGATTTGCCACCACTCCATCAAACGGTATGGGAGTTCCACAAGGAGGGCACGTTCCTGGTGATGAGGTCTTCGTGATGCTGCAATGCCCTTTTTGGAGGAGCCCCCAAGAAATACGTTTGCTCAGCGTTTGAAAAGCAGAGAGGACACACCTGCTCTACAAGACCTTTGGATAATTTGGAGACAGTTACTGCCCAGACATGTCCCTTTGCCTCCTCTCCAAGGCCGATTTCCAACCTCTTAGAAGAAGCTTGCATGGTTCTTTTCATTCCAGCTGTGAGGGGGTTGAGGCTGAGGCTGCATGTTAGAAGTCACAGCTCCAAGTTGCAGGAACTCAGAGCTAGGGATTGGACTACTCCTGTGGTGTCTCTGGGTCAGAAGGCCATCAGAATGCACCTTAAAAAATGATTATATGAGTGATTATATACCTAATCAGTGTAGGTCCTTTGCTCCTAAGAAATGGGCAAATTGCTTTTGGAAAGAATGACATTTTGGTACACTTTCCTCTCATCTCCTATAGCTGAGTCAAAGGCCTACAGTGGAAGAGCTGCGTGAAAGAAAAATTCTCATCCGCTTTAGTGACTACGTGGAAGTGGCAGATGCTCAGGACTATGACAGACGGGCAGATAAACCATGGACACGGCTCACGGCTGCTGACAAAGTGAGTAGGTGGAGTTTCAGAACAATTTTGGTCTGAAGTCTAAGACAGTTGGCAAGACTTGTTAAATGAAACACTGCAGTGGTCATAAACATTCTTTCCAAGATCACACTTCTGCCTAATATTTTGATTATCTCTCATCAACTATTATTTCTAAATTTAAAAAAATCATAAAGGGCATTAACCAGGTTCAACTCTTCTTTCTAAAAGACACCTCCCCAAACACTTTCTGACTTCTTCAGTCATTACAGAGGAATAGATTTATGCCTATTTACGGCAGTTGTTTTGTCTTCTGTATTTGTGTTAATCTTGCACAGTGACATAAAAAATTGTATTTTACCTGGCCTCATCTACACAGCTGCTTGTTAAATCTGAGCTCTGAGACATGCAGGAGGTAATAATCTTTCAAACCTTGAGAGAGTCAATAGTCCATGTGCTCCTATTCATAGTTCCTTAAACAGCTAATCAACTGGCTGGAAGTCCCATCTTGAAATAGCTGCAAAGCGCCTTGCTTTCTTTCCAGTCCACCATAATCCAGTCTTGCTTTCTTTCCAGTCCTCCTTGCCCATCTTGGCTAATTAACAACGCCAAGCACAGGATAGGGACCTGGATCTTGGAAGTGGTTAACGCCTCTCTGAGGGAGGGACAGGTACCTGCCCCTTTAAAGGAGGCGGTAGTCCGACCGGTCCTGAAGAAGGCGTCACTGGATCCAGAGATGGCAACTAATTATAGACCAGTGGCCAACATCCCGTTTCTGGACAAGGTGTTGGCATGGGTGGTGGCGGGAAAACTCCAAGCACTCTTGGATGAAACTGATTATCTGGACCCATTTCAGTCCGGCTTCAGACCTGGGTACGGTACTGAATCTGCCTTGGTCGCCCTGTACGATGACCTGTGTAGGGAGAAAGACAGGGGGAGTGCGTCCCTGTTGGTTCTCCTGGACCTCTCAGTGGCTTTCGATACCATCGACCATGGTATCCTTCTGGATAGACTAGCGGGATTGGGGGTTGGAGGCACTGCCTTGCAGTGGTTCCGCTCCGATCTCAATGGCCGATTCCAGAAGGTGATGCTGGCGGACTATGGCTCTGTGCCATGGCAGCTATGCCATGGAGTTCTGCAGGGTTCCATCTTGTCCCCCATGCTATTTAACATCTACATGAAACCACTGGGAGAGGTCATCAGGAGGTGTGGGCTGCGGAATCATCAGTATGCTGATGATACCCAGTTCTACCTCTCTTTTTCAACCAATCCAGGTGAGGCAGTGGCTGTACTGAACCGGTGCCTGGCCGAGGTAATGGGCTGGATGAGGCCAATAAACTGAAGCTCGGTCCAGACAAGATGGAGGTCCTGTTGGTTGGCAGATCGGGCTTCGGGGAAGGAGACCTGCGCTTAGTCCTGAATGGGGTTGCACTCCCTTAAGGACAAGGTCCGCAGCTTGGGAGTGCTCCTCGACCCAGAGCTTTCACTGGAAGCTCAGGTGACTGCGGTGGCGAGGAGTGCTTTCTTTCAGCTTCAGCTGATCCATCAGCTGCGTCCCTGCCTGGAGAACGACTGCCTGGTGACAGTGACACACGCGTTGGTGACTTCCCGACTTGACTTCTGTAACGCACTCTACGTGGGGCTGCCCTTGAAGACAGTCCGGATACTTCAATTGGTTCAAAATAGAGCAGCCAGGTTGCTGACGGGGACCGGGCATTACTCTCACATAACCCCAGTCCTCTACCAGCTTTACTGGCTTCCCATTGAAGTCCGGGCTCAATTCAAGGTGCTGGTTATTACCTATAAAGCCTTTAACAGCTTGGGACCAGGATACCTGAAGGAATGCCTTCTTCCATATTTGCCCTCCCATCCCCTGAGATCGGCAGCAGAGGCCCTCCTCTGGGAACACTCCGTGAAAGATATCAGGAGGCAAAGTACCCGGAGGAGGGCCTTCTCTGCGGTGGCGCCCCATCTATGGAATGCACTCCCCCGAGAGGTCCGCCTGGCGCCATCGTTATTTGTTTTTCGGCGCCAGGTCAAGACCTTTTTATTGAAACGTTATTTTAATTGTTAATTTTATTTATTTATTTATTTATTTTTGGCCAGGTCGACTCAAATTATATTGTTTTTATATTGTGTTTATTTATTTATTATTGTGAGCCACTCCGAGGCTTCAGCAAATGGGGCGGCATAGAAGCCCCCTAAATAAATAAATAATCTGCAAAAACTAAAACAGAACTGAGCATGAAAGAGAGTGCAGAGGGCAGGAGTCCATTTCTTAGAAGGGAGAACATTGACAAATCTTTGTAAAGCCCTTCCGAAGCTGAGGCTGAATCCTGACAAGATGGAATCACTCTTCCTAGGCCAGGGAAGGGGGCAGATGGCCTGTTCTGGAAGGGATTTGGTATCAAATTGGTATTTGTCAATGGTTCTGCCAAGCAAAATGGACAGAAGTCTGATGGGGGAAAGTCAAGGAATCAACATGTTCCATCAGCTTGGCCAATACAGGACAACTATGTTTGGGTTTAAATGCAGTAAAAGGCAGATTCACTGCAGCTTGCGTCACTTCCCAAGTCTTGGTAACACTGGTACATATCATGCCAATGAACAGAATGAACAAGACCTATCAGGCCCTGTAATTCCCCCTCCCCTTGTAAGCCCTGTAGATTTAATGAAGGATGACTATAGGGCATTTATAATAAGATGCTTCAGTCCTTATTCCCCAGGTGATCTCTGGCAGCTTTTCAAGCACTGTTTAAAAGATGCCTCTTCCATCTGTCCATTTTTCTTGTTCTGGATGCGTTCCAAATGTGAACACACATTTGTTCTCATCTGGGGTCATTTACAAACAGAACCATAACGAGCCATTTTTCTACATTGTTTACAAGGCAGTCATCTTCAAGGTGACATACCTGATTGCAACATATGCATGTGATTGTTTCAGACTGTTTGCATTTGAATGCAGAGAAAGCAGTGCTGTGGCTCCATACCAGGGCAGTGGGGAGAGAGGAATCCAGATGAATTCTGGGACTTACTTCCAAGTACATACGGGAACAGGTGCATGCACAACGTACTTGTAGATGCTATGGTACATTTTGCCAGGCTGGTAGACTGTATCACAGCACCTCTTGAGTGGTGGTTCCAGCCAACTGCTCACCTGGCAGGCACTTTTTCTCCAAGTGACTGGTCACATCCCTTTTCTTGCTGCCAGCACTTGGGTCTTTCCAACTGATGCATTAGAAAAGAGAGTGCCCTTGCTGTGCTTTTCAGTGGCGTAATTTGTGCGTGCTCTCTCTCTCTCTCTGTCATTTGCAGGCAGCAATTCGCAAAGAACTCAATGAATTTAAAAGCACTGAGATGGAAGTTCATGAATTAAGCAGGCATTTAACAAGGTAAGATGAAATTAAAATGTAAATGACAAATGTTGTTGTTGTTAGCACCACAGACCTCATATGTAATCCTGACTACTTTTATAAAATAAAATTTGATCTTGAATCAATCTAGTGTTCATGCTATTTCCACAGAAACTAAAAATGGTAGGTAATGGTGAGGTGGGCAGCTTCTGTATCACTAGCCCAATTTTCTGCATTCCAGCATGACCAGAGAGGATGCAGTGGAATTAGTTATGGTCCCCAGTACCTTGGTGGAACGCTTTCTTATACCTATAGCCATACATACATAGGTTTTCCATTGGGGATGATTTAGTGGCCATCTAGAGAATTTCATGGATGTCCACCATCTTTTTCTCTGATGATATGTGAAAAGTACCATATTTTTTGCTCTATAAGACGCACTTTTTTCCCCCCTCAAAAGTAAGGGGAAATGTCTGTGCGGCTTATAGAGCGAATGTGTGTGTGCCCGACGCCCGGGACGCTGCCGGCCCACCTGCACCACGTGGCACCACCTGGCCGGCACGTGCTTGGCACGCGCTGCTCCACCCCCCTCCTCCGGCGCAGGTGAGAGCTGTGCCGCTCAGCGGGAGCAGTGCGGAGGAGGAGGAGCCGCGGGCTTTTTAACCCGCCGGCCGCACGGAGAGACAGACTGCTCACCCCCACCGCCCAGGAAGACCTGCTGCTGCTGCGCCGCCCGAAAGACCACTGCCGGCACGCTGCCGGCCCAGCTGCACCACACCTGGCCGGCACGCGCTCGGCGCGCCCTGCTCCGCCCCCCTCCTCCGGCGCAGGTGAGAGCTGTTAATCACAGGTCGGTGTGTGTTTTCAAATGGCAACCCGCCTTTTAATGAAGCCCATGGGGAAGTGATGGGAAATGTGCCTGTGATTATCAGGAAGTTTTCCATGGATCCCTCCTCTAAAAACTAGGTGTGTCTTATGGTCAGGTGCGTCTTATAGAGCGAAAAATACAGTATGTTTCTGTTGACACTAATTAAAAGTACTCTTCCCTTCCCCCTTTTCACCTTCCTATTCTTTTTAGGTTTCACAGACCATAGAAACTGAGTACGCCCCCATCTTCAAAGCATAACTGAAAAGAACCATAAGTGCTGGTATCGTTCACTTCTCTGTTACGTACAGTGTAAATCTTTGGAACTGCCTTTTTAAAATCAATAAAAACAGGAAGGAAACCATGTTTTCCTACACTGGGTAGAAATACATTGTAAGAACTGTTGGCACAACTATCAGCGACTGAGAACACCCATGGCAAAAACCATGCCAAGTGTTGGCACTTGGATTTGAAACTCTGCCTGTGTGGATTCCCCATACTCATCCGAGAGCAGCCATTTGTACACTCACCTGCTACTCCCTTCAAACACCTCTCATCTGACTCCAAAGAACGCTGAGGCCCTTGGTGTTGCCTTGGACATAAACATCTGGATGAAAGCGCAAACAAGCTCTACCACCCTTCTGGCTCAACACTTCTACCAAACACTTCTTTCTGTTTGAGAGCACCTTAGAAAGATGAGCGGGGGAACAGAGACCCACTCTGAGAATCTACCTATCTTTGACACTTTCCAAGAATCATCTGTGGAGGATCTTTTGACTGGCAGACTGTCATCCCCCCCCCTTTTTTTTTTNCACACACACACACACACACACACAGAGAGAGAGAGAGAGAGAGAGAGAGAGAGAGAGAGAGAGAGAGAGAGAGGTGGGTGGGGAGGCTGTTACCAAGCAGCTGATGGTTTCATTTAAATTGTGCATATTTATTTATTAGTTAGTTAAATTGCATATATACTGCTTGATATAACAAGATGGCTAAGCGCTTTACACCATTGTTACACAGATGTGCCATGGCAAATGTACTTACTCATGTATTTCTTGAATACCAAGCCATATATGTCATTATTTTAAACCTTGGCTCGTTTTCTTTTTGCCCCAGCCTCCCAACAGGTACCCCAGTACCTGCCGTTGTACACCATAATTATTTGGCTAATGATCCTTTAACCAAGAACATGATCAGATACATGTTTCTGAGTTGATACACATATGCAGGAGGGCATGTGGTAGAAAAGTGTGTTATGTTATTGCATTTCTTATTACAACAGAGTTTTCTTTATAACTTTTCTCTTTTCTTCACATCCTGCTGCAGATTAAAGAAAGAAGCACTATCTTCCTTCAATATCATTTAGAAGAACCATGTTGTTTGACCTCTGAGTTAAACTGCAAAGCTCTCTTTGCATGCACAGTATTTCGAAGTGCTGAGTTATTTCCAACATTAAAACTCCAGCTGGTTTATTTTACCATTGAGGAAATGCAGGTACTTGTTCAGCAAAACAAGAGAGCAGGATGAAATAAATTACTATTTTTCCCAAGGAAATTAAAGGTTCCTAGTACACGTACAGCTTATTAAAGCATAGCTCCATTGCCAATGTACAGTCTCCTGTTCATCTCAAAGAAGGTCTAGTATTTAATTATTGTTCGGTAGATGGGCCATGTCATGTCAAAATATTATTTAAACTAAGGAACTCTACAGTTTTGACTCATCAAGACACTTATAAATGAAACCTATGATGATGAAAAAGGACAAACATAATAGAAGTTGATAAAACCATGCATGGAGAAAATAGGTTGAAAAAAATGTTTATCTTCCTTCCATACCAGTAGAACTAGAGATCACCCAATGAACCTGGTGGGTGTTAGATTCAGGACACAACCTGGGTCATCTTCTATGTGGTGATGAGCATTGAGCTGCAACGAGGATTGAGCAGCGACTAGCCATTATAGCCAAATGTTCAGAGGTAGCATGCCATTAAATACAAGTACCCGGTGACTGATAGTAAAAGACTTTTTCCAAACTTATTTTCTGAGAGATCTAAATAGACACAAAGAGGAGCAGGATGTTAGACTAGAGAGAAGAACCATAGAGGTAGATACCATATTTTCCATGAATAAGTTCTGGTTTCAAGCCATGACACCACCAAGTAGGGCTGGGAAAGCCTCTTGTTGGAAAACCTGGAAGGCCACCAGACTGGGGCTGGTCTGAGCAAGATGGACCAAGGATAAAGGTTATAGTCCTGTGATCTCTACTCTTGTTCAGACTGGCTCTTCTTATTTCTGATCAGAGTTTATCCAGAGTACCTCAGCTCACAAGCTTTCTCCATTCACTTGAGGATTCAATTGCGGGTATGCAACATGGATGGTGATCAGACCTTGTCTGCCATAGCTTATCTTTATCTACCTCAACCAGATGTTCTTTACCTCAATGTGAGTCCACTTACTTCCTGGGTTAGGCTCAGGTGCTCACAAGACATCATATGGAGTTGCATTTCACATTAAAGTAAATAGAGAACCATGACATACAGAAGTCCTTTTTTCCAATAGGATTTTAGATACTGGGATTGTTTTATTTAACTTTCTTGTTACCTGGATAAACAAAAGCATTTATCTGTCTTGTTATATAGCAAAAATAGAAGAACAGGAGAACTAAATAGAAGAAAAGGAGAAGTAAGTAACCATGGGGCTTACAGATCATAAGCAAGTAAACAAGGAAAAAATGGAGGTACACATGAGACATGTCAGAACATTACCAAGTGTTCCACTAAAGGAAATAAGCAAAATCTAAGTAAATTGTAGCAATACAAGAGCTTGGACCAGTTCATGGAAGGTACGTTTGCCCCACCTGGGGAGTTTCCACTGCACCGTGGGTCATCTCTGACCCTCTGATATTTTCAGGGGCCTGCAGAGGCTGCCATGGGGGAAAGGGAGTGAGAAAGTATGCTTTTGCCAGCCCAGTTCCATCTGCCTAAATCTGGATCCAGCACAGAGAATGACTGACATATTCCATGTTAATAATACCTTCTTGGCAGATGCATTATCTCATTCTCAGTAATGAGAAGGGTTACAATGCCTGGAAAATATAAGCCACGGTTGCTCCTGAAAATAACAATTCAATCATCTCCCTAATCTGTTAAAGTGAAAACAATTGGAACAGTTTCCTGATGCAAACATTTTCATCTCTGATTAAGCCACATGTGACCCTGTTCTTGAAATGCATTCTCCATAACTAGAGATTCTTTTGTGGTCTCATATTTCAATTGATGCTACTTTCTCTGGAACAGAGATAATTCTTAGTCTTAACACAAGCATCAAAGCTTTAGTTTCTAAGACAATATAGATTTGGAAGATGCATGAGCTAAATGTTAAGGTTCCCCACTTCCACCCTCAGGAAAGGAATTGATTGCTATTGGAGAAAAAAAGAAAGTTCTGATGGGACAAGAACAGATGCAGTGAAATACTGCAGAAGGACAATTAAGAGAAAAATGTATGAGGAATGCCTTGGTAGTTGTTTCAGTTCACTAGGACTTGCACAAGAGACCTTAACTCATTCATTGTGCTCAAAGGGCATATTTCCTTCCATATGAGTGAGTGAAGTGACTACATTTCACATGATGTACAGAGGTTCCCTGTAGCCTCAAATGCATTAAATATCTACATCTAAACCTCTCTTCTGCACAAGGGATGGTTAGATCAGAGCAGTGACAGACAGAATTCCAGATGTTTTGGACTACATATTAACATCTGGAAATATAACTCCACTGGTTTGGACTACAATTTTGATCATTCCAGATTTTTGGCAATGCCAGCAGGGGGTTCTGGGAACTGAAGCCTAAAGTATCTGGAGATGTTCTACCCATCCTGGATTAGAGTGGTCCTCCCCATTCTTGTGCCTTTCAGATGTTTTGGACTTCAACTCCCATCATTCCCAGCCATTACCTAATGGTCAGGAATTCTGGAAGTTGAAATCCCAAATACCTGGAGAGCAATAGGTTGAGGAAAGCTAAATGCAAGTAACCATGTCCTAACCCAAAATCATCTTGGGTAAAATTCCATGTTATGGTACTTGCATTCTCTTTAGCACATATCCTTCTCTTTGAAGGCCAACAACCCCACCTTCAATTTCTTCAAACCACAGAGAGCTTCCCTAGGGAGTTAGGAGAAGCATCCAACTGTAAGCCCAGCTGGTTAGTGGCCAAGCCAATAATAACCCAGCAGCTGGCTGGAATCAATGCCTATCTCTGCTTCTTAAAACATAGTTTTCAGCTGCTGCCAGGTCGTTGCTAAATCAACAACAGAAACTCTGGACTTGGCACTCCATCTCTTAGATTTGTGTCCTTTCCATGAGTCTGACCTGGCCTGACTCTGTACCTGCATTATTCTTTGAAATGGGACATTGTGTCTGGAAGCTTTCTTATGGTTTTACTCTTGCTGAAAAGTGTGTGGCCAGAAATAAGGATGTTGTTACAAATTGCTTCTCCTGGTAAAAATGATGTTATGGTCCTTATAAATGTTGCTTATTGTCGGTAATGTTAAGATGGTCGCACTATTGTAGATTGGCTTTTATTTGTATGTGTTGGAAAAGCCACCAAGTTTTTTTCAAAGGGCAGGATATAACTATCATAACATTAAGAAATACATGCAATGTAAGCTTGGAACTAATTGTATTCTGCATACTCGCACAAAATGGCACAAAACATTGCACTGCAAATGGCACAAAAATATTGGGAAGAATTTCCTACCCAAACAGAATTTAGCACCCTGAGAACCTCCACTGTTTTTCTATTTTGAAGTTTCCAGTATCCAAGATAAGCTTGGAAGCAGGTCAGCTGACTCTGTGAACATTTCAGTAATCCACAGTTAGAGCAAGATAAGAAGGCAGCAGGTTATAGTTTTGCATACCTTCACATCCTTTTCTATGACTTGAGTCAAAGTAAATGTGCTGATACATATTAAGAGAAGCAGATGCACTTAATTGAAATAATTGAATTAATTCCAGATCCAGCTTTTCCGGAATCCTTGTCTGACTTAACTTGGTGGGAAAACAAACAAACAAACAAACAAACAAAAAAGCAGGATTTTTTTTTTCAAAGCACAGATTACACATGGCTCAGTGTAAGCTTGTAATATGCTAAGAAAATGTCATTTTCTTCTTTTTCTTTAAGGAAGGACATGAGTAGGCAGGTAATGAGCAATCGCCTTCTCAACAGCAGACACTTCTATAACCTGAAGCAAAAAACTGACTGTTAACACCAAAGTATATAACTGCCAGACAAATACTCGAAGGCCTTAGAAAATAAGGTCCCCTTAGGAATATCAATCTCTTAACCATCTGACCTTCAGTCATCCGATGTGCTCGCATTAATTAGCTTCTTCTGTTGGGTCTGCTGCTATCATTCACTAACCAGTGGTAGGCAAACTTATATCCCTTTGTACGTACATGTCTTAATGTTTATGGAAGGCAAGTGATTTCCCCCAAGTGAAACTTGGTGCAGGGATGTTCTTTTCCTGCCCTATCTCTTTTATTCTAGCTGATTTATTTATTTATTTATTAAAATGTATAGACTGCGCCTATAGCCCTACATGGGCTGCCTGGATGGTGCACAATAAAGCCAACAATAAAATAGCTAAATTCCATAAAAGAATACAACATAGGCATCTACGTATACTCAACTAAGGATGGTTGAATTTCTTTTTTGAGAAACCCATGCAAGTATAAATGTGAAACCAGAGGCAGACAGTGAAATGTCAGGGAAGAAAAGAAAAGGGGGAGTTGCTAAGGACAGCATGCTCACCAGAGCCAACTCAACCCCAAACAAGGTGACAGGATTTTGAACGTGTGATGGAAGCTTGCTGCTTAGGAGCCCAGAGGAGGGATTCAGAGGACTGGTGCATCCCGAGAGACACTGAAGGTGCAATGAACTCTGGCTGTTGCTGTTTTTAAAAGTGTCTGTCTTTTCAAAGAGTCATTTCTGTTCTGGACTAGGAGTTTTCTAATATCTCCTAGTCCCTTCACATAGCTAAAATAAGATCCATCTTGGGAAGAGTAGAAATACCAAAGGTCCAGCAGCAGCTGATCACGGTCTGAGTGATCAAAGGCATCCCAGAGTGGGGAAAGAAATACAGCTGCTGTTGGTACAGCAAGAATAGCACTGTTTGTGTGTCCTTGTCTTGTCGTGCTCACCAAGGAGGCTGACCTATTTTGCCCTCTAGAGGCAGAATGCTATATTGACATACTCCCTAGAAGAGCCCCCATGCTCTGGTAATCCTGCATGCTCAGTTTAATCATGGCCTGGTGCAAAGCAGTCAACCGAAATGAGTGTCTCTGCATTTAGGATGCATAAAGGTAATTGGA